GTTTTTTAGAAACAAAACAAATAAAAAATCACTGATGCTGTGTGTGTGTGTGTGAACGTGTTTTGTATTCTATTTGATGTATACTTACTCGTTTTAAGTCACAACCGAATCAGAGGTTGTACATAAAGTAAAAAAAAAAAAAAATTATATATGACGTGCTATCATTACAATATTAATATGGCGTTCAACAGGTGTCGAAAAATTAGAACAATAACGGTTTGGTAATATTTTGTTTGGAGAAACGCCAAACCGCGGCGGGTGGAGGGCAAAGCGGCAACCATTTATCTTAAGTCCGAAGTGTAAAAAAAAAAAATAAAGTCAAATAGGGCTGTTTCAAACTCTGACGGGACACTGCGGCCAATGAATAATAATAATATTCGAACCTTATCTTAAACTTTGAACGATTTTTCAAAGTTTTGCCGTCGTGGTAATTGAATGAGGGTGGCGTTCCGCGTTTCAATTTGTATCAGAGTTTTTTTTTATAGACACAGACTGTATTAAATCTGCTATTGCGGTTGGCAATATTGTCGTCTTATATGATGGAGTCCATCAGTATATTGTCTTTGGGTAAAATTTGAGAATTATAAAAGTATTATCTGTAATGTTATCATGTAATTTTGTTTCTGTAGGGAAAATATAAATAATATTATATCCGAGCTGTTCTCTGTTACCTGTTTAGCTTATTTTGAATTGGATAATTATACTATACTCGCCCACTGTGTAAATATTGTTTTACATTATGATGTCTACTATTACAGTGTGGAAATCAGTTTCTTTTTTTAATAATGTCTTAACAACCAAAGAGTTAATATCCGCCCACCGACCACATTTTCAGTATTTTATTTTATTGGCAGCCGGCTCGAACTTGGGGCGCGGTTATGTACATTTTACACCGTTAGCCGCTTATTTATTTTGAGGGGAATTACACCGTTGAATCGGTGGTCAGCGGGCGAGTGAAGGTTAGGTAAGTTGTGTTAAAGGGGAAGAAGTAACGGCGTGTGCTATTCGTTGTTGGCTAGATTTTTAATTAACGTCGCCTTGTCGTCCGAACAGGCCTTTCCCACCTGGGAGAGTGTAACCGCGATCGATACATGTGCCGTAGTAATGAAATCAGTGAATTTCATTTTGAGCCAAACTATAAAACTATACTAATGCACTAGAATTGTGGTTCGTTGACCCGTTTTCGCCAGCCGGAGGTATCGGATTCGGTTTCGTGTTTCGGATTACTTACTATTTGTACTATCAGCGGCGGGGCTTGACTTGAGCTTTTGATGCCTTAAGACCATTCGCGGTCTTGGAACCATATAGCATTGCATTCACCAGGACCCGCCAAAATTATTTTCAAAACAAATCCAAACTGATTGATTGTATTGGCTTTTAATTTTAATATAATACAAGTTGCACGGAATACAAGTTATAAACTTCAGACCTGAAACTGCTCTCTGCCTTATCATCACCCTCGTTAGCTTATAGGTTATTATGAGTTATGCGTGGCTTAAGACAAATTTAACTAAAATTGGATGTTTTTTTAATATTGTAAAAAACTTAAATTATTCATTTTTAATTCATATTTTGTATTTTCTCGACAAGCTCTTTTTAATGAGCTTAGATTCAACTATCAATCTCGTATAATTGATGTGTATTATCTTATATTAAAGCTAAATATCTATCTTCTATCAATCTATTTTCTCTTTTTCCTATTCAATTGGATTCAACTAGATTTTTCAAAAATCAAGGAAGTAAAAAAGAAAATCTCAACAAATAAACCATGTACTATGTATGTAAACCCGACCAATTAGTCCATCGCCGTAAGAGATTATTCGATACACGGTTTAACCACCACCACGGTTTAGGGTTGGCGTTTTCTTTGTAATGTCCGTGTGATTCGTCTAAGGGGAGGGGGAAGGAAATATCGTAACAATATCTACAAAAAAGCGGATCGCGCCGTTACGGCTCATTTATTTTTAATCAAAACCGTCTTGGAATAATTCAATTTGCCATCCGGCCGCCGAACAGTGTGATTTAATTAAACACGAAAGAAAAATCTGATAAAATAAAAAAAAACTATCCATCCCGTCTACGGCGGAAGTGGCGGAGGGCGAGCTGGACAATCTGGCTGTGAGGTTTTATGTGCTGCAATACATAACATTAATATTCAACGGGTATTCCGATTGGCCGAAAGACAATTAAAACAACGTTGCTTTGTCGGTTCCTTATTACATACATTTTGACCCTAAGTATATATTATATATAATATGGACGGATACGATTCGCCAGCCATCGACCATTCATCAAAACTAAGGGAAAAAACAGACGCACGAGTCGTCGCGCCGGTACGGCTGCCGCCATGTAGGCAGAAACGATCAATCTTAGACAGGAGAGATGAGAGACAAGTGTGTAAAGTACAAAAACAAAAGAAGCAAACATTTACGCCACCGGGTCAAGACGATTTTTCATAATAACGAGCAATTTTTTTCTCATTGAAATATTCGTCACAAAACGGCAATGGGATGGCGCATCGACGAAGATCTCTTGGGCAGAGTGTGAGTCTGAGAGCAGAGAGTGTGATCAGCCTTATAAATATAATATCACAATATACACGTTGGGTATAAATACCAATTTATATCTAGGTGATTGGACACATACTGTGCCATAACAGTCTACTTAGCAGAAGGTGTCATAGAGGGGAATAATAACAGGGGCGACCAGCGCCACTGGACTACATTAGTCAAATAGTAAGAGACATGGACATTTTTCATCGACAATACTTCAATAGCCGAATGTAGTGATTTCCACTTATTTTTGTGAATTACTAACTAATAGTATACATGTTCACATAAATTATAGCTTAACGTCGAGTTTTAGTGAAAAATTGCCTACACAATGCGCCTTAACAAACGCTAATGTAGAGGCCCCTTAAAGGAGTGGCGTCCGTGAACACTTATAAGACGATGCGCTATCGCGGACAACACAAATCTTGAAACTCATTTGCCAAAAGTTGGCAAATTTATGAGTTTGGCCAAAACGGTAAGCCCTTGGGCCAAGATACACGGGATTAGCGAGCCCGCCATTTTGTTGTTTTGCTTGGACAAACGACGATAATGATTGCGGACGACCTAAATCGCTTTAATTGGGGAAGGCGGGGGCGTAGGGAGGATTAAACTTTTCGAATTAAATTTCAACCGGACCCGTAGGATTTTTCCGCCGTGCAATATTGTGCGCTACACGAGCGAAATCTATCAAAAAAAAAAAAATAGTTTTCCCGGTTAAATATACTAATTAGTATTCATATTTTCTTCACGGAGCATCTTAAGCCCTTCTCGACGAGCTCAACGCGTCCGTGAACGCCGTCTGAAGTAATTATTTTAATTTTTTTTTATACTCAGCCTGAGGCAAACCCCCCCCCCCCCCATGGCTAAGGAGATTCGTCGAAACGTCTCGTCTCTCTTCGATGACGTGCTAAGACAAGATAATATTATCCGATAACGTGTATTGCCGGTACTTAAATAACGGCTAATCAGTGTCGGTACATACAAAAAATAAATAGCTGAACAAACGCGACGAGGCTCTTTCTTGTGGCCCACTCAGTGTTTTGACAACTACATAATATTATTATACTAATACGACGTATCAATCAAAGACTAACGTCCGTCCAGCACTACCTACATCATATATTTTATAATAATATAATACATTATGACATGTGTTTACCCGACGATAATCCGCTCATATATTGTGATTTCAGAAGAAAAAAAATCGTATAGTAACTTAATGGCGTTCAAGTGTTTGTTTTTACTATACCATACTTTACTCGTTAAAGACGATGACGATGACGACGACGAAAAAACACTTACCGTCATGTTAACATAATAATATTATTTGTATAACCGTCGGGCGCAAACAATATGAGATTTTGATTTGCTTCGTTTCGACTTAAATAGTATAAAACTAATAATTGTAATTCGACCGACTAAAGTGAATCGGCCGGTGGCAATTAACGGATCGTTAAATACCAGATTTGAATAGCTGTTTTCGGTAATGACTATGTAACAAAAAACAAAAACCACAATATATAGCTTATATTATGTACAATGTATACAAGGTGAGCATTTTATCGTGAATCACTCAATATGTCATTGGGTTTAATTTTAATAACTTAATTTTTTTCCATATCCATTTTATATACAGTGATTTCATTTTTCCATAATTTTTTTATTTTCCTACCCCTTCCCAAATTAGTTTTTTTTATAGCAACTTTTGAAACTTAAATAGTAACGCATACATTTCATTAAATTTTTAATTTGAGAATAATTACTGAAAAGTTTAACTGGTCGATAATCAGTTTTGGAAAAATATTTTTGAAGTTTTTGAAATTTCAAGTTTAGGGCAGGAGGAAAGGTAGAGTTAGTATTATTTTCATATGCGCAAACTTCCCCTCCCGTCCTAACTTTAAGACTTATTGACTTTAAAAAAATTTCGTTCAAAACTGGTTGTCAACCAGTCGACATTTTTACTTCAATATTCTCAATTTAAATAGTTAATAAATATATAAGTTACCATTTAAGTTTAAAAATTGATAATAATAACTATAAAATAATTAGTTTTGGAGGGGTAAAAACAAAAAAAACAAAAGATGTGCAAAGTTGAGATCACATTGTAGAAAAAAACTAAATTAAAATTCTCATTAAACCCTATGGTATATTAAGTGGTTCACGATAAAATGATCACCCTGTATAATAATATAGTACCATTAGTCATAATCATAATATTACAATAATGATAATTAACCCACCGCTCTCCTGCGTGTAATAACAATAATAATAATAATAATTTACTAACTTCGATAATTATTATTTCATAATTAGTCTTATATTAACGCTAATTTAACCGAGTTCCATTAACGACTGTTTTGCGCCCAAATCGCACCACGATATAATACATTATATATAGACATGAAAAAGTTAAATGTTTTTTGATTTTTTTTTTGTTTTTTTTTCTAGATTTGTGTGCAGTTTTTGTTTCGGTTTTTCTAGTTAACCTAGCTTTTCGTAGACCGAGACGGTAAAACGTAGCGTACAATTTGTTTGCCCTTTTTAAGAGACACGGTATTGTTACAATAGCGTCGGAGTAACAATATAATAATATTATATTCTTATTGTCACGGTGTGATGATGTCTGCGAAGATGTTCGGTCGCACCGGCTTCGGGCCGTAGTCCGGACTTGTTGTGTGTTGTACTCGTGCGACACATTGGGAAGACATCGGAGACACAGAAACCTTTTCACTGTGGTGTATAATATATAATACATAACATAGCTGTGTACCCCCACACACACACATACACAAATTGTATTGTATATTTTATTAAAACATGGAAGACCTATACATTTCTACGACGACGGCCGCGGCCACCAACAACAACGTGATGGACGACTTGCCCAAAAAGAAATGGAACGGCGGTCTGACCATCTTGAAGGAACACGCCGTGGTCGATGAGTGCTACAGAGAAGACGGCGGAAAACCGCCTATCCTGCCGGCAGACGACAAGCGAAGGAACCGCAGGAAGTCCTGGCAAATGGGACGTTTGGACAAAAAGCGCAGGAAGAGCGTGTCCGTGCTGTCGCCCATACCGGACGCGGAACAGTGCGGTCTGGCTGGCAGTTATTACAAGACCAAACGACCAAGCTGGTGGAACATCTTCACTGCCGACCATTGGCCTCGGTAATTAACATATAATAACTATAACAATAATAGTATATATAAATCCCGAGCAAAAGGGACGGGGGAGGTGATGTAGTTCTTTTACTGTACTATGGTAAACTAGAGCTGCAAATTGTACACTCTACACACGGTTACTATATATACCTGACTAAACATAATTATATATAATTCTTATCTTCAAACTGCTAGGTAGAAAATAATACATTTAAAAATAAAAAATATTGAACAGAGTATGTAGGTACATTATTAAAATGTTATTCGTTGAGATTAAGGATTGGGTTTTGAATTTTTTTTTTTGGGGGGGGTCGCTAAAATCCCTCTAGCACCCTCAGAGTTGCGCCTATGTATACTGGTAGTAAAAATGCTTCAGGAGGTATGGTGGCTTTTAAATTTAAAAAATTTGTCTAACACATAAATTGATAGTGTGTAGATAGCGCCGTTGTAGCAGCGGCCTCTAGCCAAAACGATTCGGTTGTCATAAACAATTGTGGTTTATTAGCAAGGCTAGTATTTACCACATGATGGTAGATCACGCAGCTCGCATACTATTATCATACAATTATTATGCTATATTATCTATAAGTTTGCACGCTTGTATAGTTTTTAATTATTAATGATGTCACCGGACTATAACGACCGTATCGTTTTCGCACAACTGTTTGCATTCGTTTAATAGCCTGCGGCAAATATCAAACGATTTCAGAAAGTTTATGCTTAATAATTTCTTTTATCGACGCAATGATTATTTTTTATTATGTCCCCGAAGGACAACGCCGTTGTTGGCTAAGTATACTTCATATGCACATGCATTTTACTTTATTTTTCTACCAATCCCGCACAAAACATTTAGAAAATATAGATAATATTTAATAGGTTTTTGTTGATATTTCTTAAACTCCTGTCTGGGTTGTAGGGCTTAGAATAAGTTAGACGACAGTACGAATTAATGAGTATTAATTTTGTTTCGTCTTAATCAATAGAAGTAGCAAGTTTGTATTGAAAATGTAAAAAAAAAACACTATTACCGCCCTCGAGGCTGTAAGCGCGCTCATTCGACAACACCCCCAAAATACTTGAGAAGTCGTTAAGGGCATCGCGCTACACTAAGACTTCCTAAGCTCCAGTGTTTTATCTTTTGGACTTAACCGGGACCGTCGTATCCTGAACAGCGATTTTACCGTTTCAATTTAAACAAATCCCGTTTCGCTCATGTACTCGATACCTCTCCTTGTATACTATACATATGACGTATATTATACTGTCGTTAGTTTACAAGTACCTACGCATTGTTCTCGCTACATCAATTATTGTTACACGGTCCGGAGTCTCTGTGTGTGCATATAAGAAGATTTGTTCTCTTTTTCTGAAGACGACGTCGCGTGTATTGTACAAACCCGTATATACTATTCGCCCCTTAATAATATAATCCCTGACCCGTAAACTCTATGAACATAATATGGTGGCTCGTGGGTCCTACGTGCTCGGCCTTGGACAGTTATAATAAATGATACATAGTATCCACTACAGATGATAATATTATTATTGTAGTAGACAATCTATATATACCACCTTAATATAGTAGTGTGCTTATGGCCCCGAATCGCCCAATACCGACATGGATGGTTGTATAGAGTTACATATTATGTTATGCGGTCTCGCCTTTCTACCTAATATGTTCGTGTACAAATATCCACAAAAGCACATTCTATATAATAGCAGCGGTCGCCTAATTCGAATGGGTCAGCTTGCGCAATTCGTCCGTACATAGACGATAATGATGGGATAATATTATATAGTTTTGTAAAGTCATCGTGGGCACAGCTACTGTTTGCAAAAGCGAATAATATTTGTATCTTGTTGAAAAGGTAAGGTGGTAAACTGCGCTAAATGCGACTTTTTAACCGAGATATAAAAATTCGTTACTCAATAAAAACGTATTCAATTAGGTATACGGTATATTTATATATATATATATATATATATATATACATTATACAACGTTAAAAATAAATTAACTTATAATAAACACAAAACAGAACTCACGCCGAGAGCCTTCCATGTCTATATTTTTTACGGTTGCTGTGAAATGTCATCTAAAGCCTGACGTTTAGCTAACTTTTTGTCACTCTGGTTAATTATTTACCTTCAATCTTTTTATTGCTACAGACTTCATTTGATCCGATATGGACATAATGTAGGAATTACTTGCTTTATTAGAAGTTTTCATGCGTGGTTTACAATACACTCATTATCATACTGATAACATATTATTTTGGGGCGCAGTTTACCGTTGCCCAATAATTATTGCATTTGTCTATACATACGCTGGTTTTGTGTGCAGACGGTTGATTAGAACACAATATAATAATATATGTTACCATTACTATATAGTGCTTGTCGTTTAACGATTTCTCAACCTTTGACAAACGAGATGAAAAAAACGGTGGAATATATAATAGTGGGCAGTGTTGGGCGAACACGAACTTTCGAATAACGCACCGTTCGAATGTGTGAAGTAACACTTAACAGTGTAGATATTATATATTTTAACAGTGGTGTGCATACATATGTTTTTGCGTTATACTTTTCTAAAATCGTCCTTACCCCGACCAGGTAAGGGGAAACGGTTAAAAAGTGGCATTAGAAAATGTATAGAAATAGGGATTTTTATGCTCTTTGAGCCCTCGTCTTAACAAAATTAACCGTACACTAAGAAACGTGCTTTCTTAACGAACATTGACTTATTCAAATTTATAATAATACCGTCGCTTGTTAAGTTATCAATAATTAAACGAATAAACGAACATATTATATTCGTATATAACGTACTTAGTTTCATTGGAAAGTTGACTGCGTTTTGCATACCTACTGATCAGAAATCGGCTGGTCTCCCGAACTTTAACCATAGTCCATAGATTAAAATAGATACTATAATTAAACAATGCATATGGAAGTTGAGACGGCCAGTAGCCCTTTTTGTAGTTAATTTTTCTGCCAATAAGGCTCAGAACGGATTTCAAACATATGTCTTATTTTGTCTTTAACTATGCCACACGTTTCCACCACCCTTGCCACCATTGAGTGCTTCCGGTAACCCAAATTCACACTAAAATATTTGTGTTGTATGCATTGTTTATCTATAGTACCTATACATTTAAGTCTTTGCTATTACCTATACTTAAACTTGGTAGAGTTATTATTATTATTATAGTTGTTATATTTTCGACCTCGCGTTTGTTTCCTATCGTCGAAATCGTTTTGACACGTGGTGGCGCTCAAATGTAAGGCGTGTCTGTTCATTTCAAAATGTTAGGTTTTCCGATTTCCACAGTTTTATGCGCTTTTGTTGTCTATTTTATGTAATATAATTATATACCGCCCGATGGAAATCCACGGTACGTCTCATTAAGCCCCACGGTGGGCGGCCGTCGCATCGTCGACATTTTAAGCCATCCGGCCGGTCCGTCGTTATTGACGAAGGTCGTCGTTATGTCGTCGTCCGTGTGGTCTAAATAGTAAATTCTAATATATATCTAGTACGCATTATAAATTATAATAAAGCCATTTCACGCTAATGGTGTAAAATATAGCATTCCGGTGAGAATTTTCGACCCTGAAAATCAGATAGATAGGATAGAGAGATAGGTACACGCGGATAGTATAGCCGAAATTTGCAAACGGAATAGACATTTTCATCATTAGAGAGCGATAGAGATAGAGACATGGGTTTCATTCATATATTATAATAAATATTATTTATTATTCGGCGTTCATTTCCCCTTGACGTTTTTTGTTTTTGTTTTTCATCCCGGCCGTATGATATACATATTTTTATTATCTCGTTTGTCAAAACAGGAAACGACCGACAGGTCTAGTGTGCCCGACTTGCATCGACGACAATAATAGCAAGTCCGACGACGACGTTAACTCTGCTTAACCCTGGGCCGACTTGCAAGTCGAACTCGTACACCCATTTTGTGTTGCCGTCGTTACTTCTATTATAATATTATTATTGCACCGTAGTAAAACTATTCATTCGGATACGAATTACAAAAATATTATGTTGTTTTACTACTATTATAGTATATATATATACATACTATACGTGAACGGCATCGAGACGGATTCAATGGCGGCCGCCACAAACAAACAAAAATGTATTTATTTTGGTTGCATTTGCGTTTCGGATGCAACTTACGGCTAGGACGTTTCGGTAGGCTCGTTTGTGTTGTATTGTAAAAAAAAATAGACCGTCAACGATGAAAGAATTATGAGTGTGTTAGGCACGATAAATGTATCCGTCTGTATACCGTTAAGAAAACGGTGGATTTTGGTATATAATACAGAACTTTGGCTGGCACAAATCCAACGGGGTTAGGCCCCAGTGGGTATTGCACCACAGTCACGTCTCACCCTCTGACGACCAAACTTAGTTATGCCAACGTCATTCGAGTGTAGATTGTCTCCAATTATCTTATTAGCTGTTACATTTGCCGTCTTATTTACAGCAGCAGGAACGCGGTAACCATACCGAACCTTTCCACTTCAATTACCATGCGTTCAATCGCATAAACCTGTCAACATATTATCTATTATACATATACATATATATATATATATATATATATATATATATATATAAGTATAGACGGAAGATTAGCTGGGTACGCACGAGTGAAGACCCCGGATTAGCATCAAACCCTCCCCAAACCCCGCTATCATAATATTCTCTATACTGTTAACACTTGATAGGGAAAACAACATGATTAAATCATAATATTGTGTTAACTGCGCGCGACCGTTTTGCTTTTTGACTTGAAAAAAAAACATTCGTTTGATATTATGCTAAATAAGCGACCGTCTTGAAACGTAGCCGTATAATTGAATTTATCTTTATACATATATATCTGATGATATATATCTCATGAATCTGATTTCAACGAAACGAAATGTGTATATATATATATATACTAACAAGCAGTTAACGAAGTTAAATGTTG